GAACACTGTACCTTTAATTTTAAATGCCCTTGGAGTCTGCTGGGGAAGAGAAATAATACTGTCAGTCAGTATGACATGCAGATGATGCCGTCGATCTTAGAATCACCGCACACTTCACTCATTTGGCCAGTCACGGGGCCAAAACCAGTGTTTGGAGCCACAGTGTGCGGTGGAGGCAGCAGCAATGGGAGCCACAAAATGGAAACCAGCAGGAGTGTGAGGAGACCTCAAAGTGGCACATGGCAGAGTGGGAGCAATGGGAGGCGGTACAGGGACCCATGTCACACTGTGGACCCAGCAGCAGCGTGACCAGGCGGTACGGGGCCCATGGCAGATTTGGGGCCTGGCAGCACCTATGGGAGGCCTGTAATCTGCCAGCAACCTATGACAAAATGGAAACCAGCAGGAGTGTGAGGAGACCTCAAAGTGGCACATGGCAGAGTGGGAGCAATGGGAGGCGGTACAGGGACCCATGTCACACTGTGGACCCAGCAGCAGCGTGACCAGAGGCGGTACGGGGGCCCATGGCAGATTACAGGCCTGGCAGCAGCAATGGGAGGCCCGTAATCTGCCAGCACCCTATGACAAAAAAATGGAACACACCAGCAGTGTGTGAGGAGACCTGAAAGTGGCACATGGCAGAGTGTGGCGATGGAGAGCAGCAATGGGAGGCCGTACAGGGACCCATGACAGACTCTGGACCTGGCAGCAGCATGAGGAGGCGGTATAGGGGCCCATGGCAGATTAGGGGCCTGGCAGCAGCTATAGGAGGCCCGTAATCTGCCAGCACCCTATGACAAAAAAATTCAACACACCAGCAGTGTGTGAGGAGACCTGAAAGTGGCACATGGCAGAGTGTGGCGATGGAGACAGCAGCAATGGGAGGCCGTACAGGGACCCATGAGAGACTCTGGACCTGGCAGCAGCATGAGGAGGCGGTATAGGGGCCCCCATGGCAGATTAGGGGCCTGGCAGCAGCTATGGGAGGCCCGTAATCTGCCAGCACCCTATGTCAAAAAAATTCAACACACCAGCAGTGTGAGAGAACCTGAAAGTGGCACATGGCAGAGTGTGGCGATGGAGACAGCAGCAATGGGAGGCCGTACAGGGACCCATGACAGACTCTGGACTTGGCAGCAGCATGAGAGGCGGTATAGGGGCCCATGGCAGATTAGGGGCCTGGCAGCAGCTATGGGAGGCCCGTAATCTGCCAGCACCCTATGTCAAAAAATTCAACACACACCAGCAGTGTGAGGAGACCTGAAAGTGGCACATGGCAGAGTGTGGCGATGGAGACAGCAGCAATGGGAGGCCGTACAGGGACCCATGAGAGACTCTGGACCTGGCAGCAGCATGAGGAGGCGGTATAGGGGGCCCATGGCAGATTAGGGGCCTGGCAGCAGCTATGGGAGGCCCGTAATCTGCCAGCACCCTATGTCAAAAAATTGAACACACCAGCAGTGTGAGGAGACCTGAAAGTGGCACATGGCAGAGTGTGGCGATGGAGACAGCAGCAATGGGAGGCCGTACAGGGACCCATGAGAGACTCTGGACTTGGCAGCAGCATGAGGAGGCGGTATATAGGGGCCCATGGCAGATTAGGGGCCTGGCAGCAGCTATGGGAGGCCCGTAATCTGCCAGCACCCTATGACAAAAAAATGGAACACACCAGCAGTGTGAGGAGACCTGAAAGTGGCACATGTTTGGGGCATGATTCATGGCGGATTTAGTCAGTTGTGTCAGGAACTGGTGGTTTGAAATCCAGACTAATCCACGCCTGATTCATTTTCACAAACGTGAGTCTCTCCACACTTTGGGTGGACAGTCGTGTGTCCTCCGCGGAGTTGCAATACCCTCCTGCCGCACAAAACACGCGCTCCGATGCCACGCTACTGCCCGGGCATGACAGCCTTTCAAGGGCAAATTCAGCTAGTTGGGGCCAAAGGTCAAGTTTTCGTTGCCCAGTAGTCAAGGGGATTGTCTACCTCGGTTGGCAGGGTGCTGTCCAAGTAGGCCTAAGCCTGTTGTTTGAGGTCCTGCTCCAGGTCCACCTGATGCTGCTGCTGCTGCTGCTGCTGCAGCGCAGCTGGCTGGGAGTTTAATTAGTTTTTCCTCACTGCGCTGGTGAAGAAAGCACTCATCATCGACTGCAGACTGAGGCAGCTGCTGCTGGTGGAGCTGCCACTGCTCCTACCACCCCACCCCTCCCCTGCTGCCATGGCAGCGGAACGCGAGCGCACAGGGCCCACAGTGTCTGAGGATGGACGTTGGCAGCAGAAGGCAGAGACCAGCTGACTACATAGGTGGTTTTTATAGTACGTTATTTTGGCCTCCCTCTCAGCAGGTGTGAAAAAAAGGCCACCATTTTGGAACGGTAGCGAGGGTCCAACAAGGTGGACAGCCAAAAGTCATCCCTCTGTCTGATGGTTATTATTCGGCTGTCGGTACGCAAGCAAGCGAGCATGCTATGGGCCATTTGTGCCAAGGAATGCGAGGGACTCCCTGCCTCCATCTCCACAGCATACTGCCACGGTGCGTCTGGGTCCTCTGTCTCCTCTTCCTCCTCCTCTACCAGATGCTCCTGCTCCCTCCACTCCTGTCCGCTGAGTGGAAAAACCACCCATTTCACTCAATAATTCCTGAGCACCAATGTCCTCCTCTCTACCTCCTCCTCTTCTTCCTGTCCTGCCCCCACAGGGGTCATGTGGCGTTGAGATCTGTGCGCCACGTCTACCGCACCCTGACCAGCCATTGTTAACAGCATTTGTTCCAGGACGTGCAACAGAGGAATGACGTCGTTCATCCCATAGTCCTGCCGACTCACGAATAGCGGGGCCTCCTCAAAGGGCCTGAGCAAGCGCAGGTGTCACGCATGAGCTGCCAATGGCTGACATCTAAGTTACACAGGGAGTACCTTTATCCGCTTTTAACATCAGGAAATCTGTGATGGCCTTTTGCTGTTCGTAAAGGCGGTCTAACATATGTAGGGTTGAATTCCACCTTGTTGCAACGTCACAGCATGAGGAGTCGGTACGGGGGCCCATGGCAGATTACGGGCCTGGCAGCAGCAATGGGAGGCCCGTAATCTGCCAGCACCCTATGTCAAAAAATTCAACACACCAGCAGTGTGTGAGGAGACCTGAAAGTGGCACATGGCAGAGTGTGGCGATGGAGACAGCAGCAATGGGAGGCCGTACAGGGACCCATGAGAGACTCTGGACCTGGCAGCAGCATGAGGAGGCGTATATAGGGGCCCATGGCAGATTAGGGGCCTGGCAGCAGCTATGGGAGGCCCGTAATCTGCCAGCACCCTATGTCAAAAAATTCAACACACCAGCAGTGTGAGGAGACCTGAAAGTGGCACATGTGGCGATGGAGACATGAGACACTGATGGAGACCTGCAGCAGCATGAGGAGGCGGTATAGGGGCCCATGGCAGATTAGGGGCCTGGCAGCAGCTATGGGAGGCCCGTAATCTGCCAGCACCCTATGTCAAAAAATTAAAATTCACACACCAGCAGTGTGAGGAGACCTGAAAGTGGCACATGGCAGAGTGTGGCGATGGAGACAGCAGCAATGGGAGGCCGTACAGGGACCCATGAGAGACTCTGGACCTGGCAGCAGCATGAGGAGGCGGTATATAGGGGCCCATGGCAGATTAGGGCCTGGCAGCAGCTATGGGAGGCCCGTAATCTGCCAGCACCCTATGTCAAAAAAATTCAACACACCAGCAGTGTGTGAGGAGACCTGAAAGTGGCACATGGCAGAGTGTGGCGATGGAGACAGCAGCAATGGGAGGCCGTACAGGGACCCATGAGAGACTCTGGACCTGGCAGCAGCATGAGGAGGCGGTATAGGGGCCCCATGGCAGATTAGGGGCCTGGCAGCAGCTATGGGAGGCCCGTAATCTGCCAGCACCCTATGTCAAAAAATTCAACACACCAGCAGTGTGTGAGGAGACCTGAAAGTGGCACATGGCAGAGTGAGTGTGGCGATGGAGACAGCAGCAATGGGAGGCCGTACAGGGACCCATGAGAGACTCTGGACCTGGCAGCAGCATGAGGAGGCGGTATATAGGGGCCCATGGCAGATTAGGGGCCTGGCAGCAGCTATGGGAGGCCCGTAATCTGCCAGCACCCTATGTCAAAAAATTCAACACACCAGCAGTGTGAGGAGACCTGAAAGTGGCACATGGCAGAGAGACTGTGGACCTGGAGACAGCAGCATGGAGGAGGCGGTATAGGGGCCCATGGCAGATTAGGGGCCTGGCAGCAGCTATGGGAGGCCCGTAATCTGCCAGCACCCTATGTCCCAAAATTCACACACACCAGCAGTGTGTGAGGAGACCTGAAAGTGGCACATGGCATGAGAGACTGGAGGGACCCATGAGACTCTGGACTGGCAGCAGCATAGGGGAGGCGGTATATATGGCATGGCAGATTAGGGGCCTGGCAGCAGCTATGGGAGGCCCGTAATCTGCCAGCACCCTATGTCAAAAAATTTGAACACACCAGCAGTGTGAGGAGACCTGAAAGTGGCACATGGCAGAGTGTGTGTGCGATGGAGACAGCAGCAATGGGAGGCCGTACAGGGACCCATGAGAGACACTGGACTTGGCAGCAGCATGAGGAGGCGGTATAGGGGCCCATGGCAGATTAGGGGCCTGGCAGCAGCTATGGGAGGCCCGTAATCTGCCAGCACCCTATGTCAAAAAATTGAACACACCAGCAGTGTGTGAGGAGACCTGAAAGTGGCACATGGCAGAGTGTGGCGATGGAGACAGCAGCAATGGGAGGCCGTACAGGGACCCATGAGAGACTCTGGACTGGATTTGGCAGCAGCATGAGGAGGCGGTATAGGGGCCCCATGGCAGATTAGGGGCCTGGCAGCAGCTATGGGAGGCCCGTAATCTGCCAGCACCCTATGACAAAAAATTGGAACACACCAGCAGTGTGTGAGGAGACCTGAAAGTGGCACATGGCAGAGTGACCCCAATGAGTGTGGCGATGGAGACAGCACAATGGGAGGCCGTACAGGGACCCATGAGAGACTCTGGCTTGGCAGCAGCATGAGGAGGAGGCGGTATAGGGGCCCATGGCAGATTAGGGGCCTGGCAGCAGCTATGGGAGGCCCGTAATCCCAGCACCCCTATGACAAAAAATGGAACACACCAGCAGTGTGTGAGGAGACCTGAAAGTGGCACATGGCAGAGTGTGGCGATGGAGACAACCCACCGACTGTTTTGCTCGCTGCCAAGCTGCCACCCTCTTCTCCTGATGATGCGGAAGCAATAGCCTGATGACGACGAGGCTGCCAAGTGCAATCAGCCTCATCATCATCAATTAGGGTCTCCGCCTCACTACTAGCCCCCTCGGCTGCGTGTGGGTCAGGAGACAGACCTGTCTCTAGACCGGCTACCGAGCCACTCTCCTCTCTCCACTACTTCTTCTTCGCCTGGCTGCTGAAGAGGCGGATGTCTCCTCCCCCCGTTCCTGACCGCCCTCTGTTAGCTCTTCCTCACTGTACTGGATGACACCGAGAGCACTAGCCTCTGGCTGCGAATAGTGCTGCCTCGACCCCTTCCTCTGCTGCCACGTCTGCTCTCTCCTAAAACATTGCCTCCTCTGCCACTCCTCTGCATGTTGTCTGACATACTCTTTAATTAAACGATTCTGTGTCCCTGAGTAACAATTCTGTGTCCCTGAGTAACGTTTCTGTGGCCCTAAGTAACAGTTCCCTGTAACAATTTCTGTGCCCTCAGTAACAATTCTGTGTCCCTCAGTAACAATTCTGTGTCCCTCAACAACAATTCTGTGTCCCTCAGTAACAATTCTGTGTGTCCCTGAGTAACAATTCTGTCTGTCCTGAGTAACGTCCTGTGCCCTCAGTAACAATTCTGTGGCCCTAAGTAACAAGTTCTGTGCCCTCAGTAACAATTCTGTCTGTCCCTGAGTAACAATTCTGTGTCTGTCCCTGAGTAACAATTCTGTGTCCCTCAGTAACAATTCTGTGTCCCTCAGTAAAAATTCTGTGTCCCTCAGTAACAATTCTGTGTCCCTCAGTAACAATTCTGTGTCCCTGAGTAACAATTCTGTGTCCCTCAGTAACAATTCTGTGTCCCTCAGTAACCTGTGGCCCTCAGTAACAATTCTGTGTCTGTCCCTGAGTACAAGTTCTGTGTCTGTCCCTGAGTAACAATTCTGTGGCCCTAGTAACGGTTCTGTGGCCCTCAGTAACAATTCTGTGTCCTGAGTAACGTTTCTGTGGCCTAAGTAACGTTTCTGTGGCCCTCAGTAACAATTCTGTGTCCCTCAGTAACAATTCTGTGTCCCTGAGTAACAATTCTGTGTCCCTGTCCCTGAGTAACAATTCTGTGGCCCTAAGTAACGGTTCTGTGGCCCTCAGTAACAATTCTGTGTCCCTGAGTAACAATTCTGTGGCCCTAAGTAACGGTCTGTGGCCCTCAGTAACAATTCTGTGTCCCTGAGTAACAATTCTGTGTCCCCTGAGTAACAATTCTGTGGCCCTAAGTAACGTTCTGTGGCCCTCAGTAACAATTCTGTGTCCCTGAGTAACAATTCTGTGGCCCTAAGTAACAATTCTGTGGCCCTCAGTAACAATTCTGTGTCCCTGAGTAACGTTTCTGTGGCCCTAAGTAACGGTTCTGTGGCCCTCAGTAACAATTCTGTGTGGCCCTCAGTAAACAATTCTGTGTCTGTCCTGAGTAACAATTCTGTGGCCCTAAGTAACGGTTCTGTGGCCCTCAGTAACAATTCTGTGTCCCTCAGTAACAATTCTGTGTCTGTCCCCTGAGTAACAATTCTGTGGCCCTAAGTAACGGTTCTGTGTGCCCTCAGTAACAATTCTGTGTCCCTGAGTAACAATTCTGTGGCCCTAAGTAACAATTGTGGCCCTCTGTGGCCCTCAGTAACAATTCTGTGTCTGTCCCTGAAGTAACAATTCTGTGGCCCTAAGTAACGGTTCTGTGGCCCTCAGTAACAATTCTGTGTCCCTGAGTAACGTTCTGTGTGCCCTCAGTAACAATTCTGTGTCCCTGAGTAACAATTCTGTGTCTGTCCCTGAGTAACAATTCTGTGGCCCTAAGTAACGGTTCTGTGGCCCTCAGTAACAATTCTGTGTCCCTGAGTAACAATTCTGTGGCCCTAAGTACGGTTCTGTGGCCCTCAGTAACAATTCTGTGTCCTCAGTAACAATTCTGTGTCTGTCCCTGAGTAACAATTCTGTGGCCCTAAGTAACGGTTCTGTGGCCCTCAGTAACAATTCTGTGTCCCTGAGTAACAATTCTGTGGCCCTAAGTAACAGTTCTGTGGCCCTCAGTAACAATTCTGTGTCCCTCAGTAACAATTCTGTGTCTGTCCCTGAGTAACAATTCTGTGGCCCTAACTAACGTTTCTGTGGCCCTAAGTAACAGTTCTGTGGCCCTCAGTAACAATTCTGTGTCCCTGAGTAACGTTTCTGTGGCCCTAAGTAACAATTCTGTGGCCCTCAGTAACAATTCTGTGTCTGTCCCTGAGTAACAATTCTGTGGCCCTAAGTAAACGGTTCTGTGGCCCTCAGTAACAATTCTGTGTCCCTGAGTAACAATTCTGTGGCCCTAAGTAACGGTTCTGTGGCCCTCAGTAACAATTCTGTGTCCCTGAGTAACAATTCTGTGTCTGTCCCTGAGTAACAATTCTGTGGCCCTAAGTAACGGTTCTGTGGCCCTCAGTAACAATTCTGTGTCCCTGAGTAACAATTCTGTGGCCCTAAGTAACAGTTCTGTGCCCTCAGTAACAATTCTGTGTCCCTGAGTAACAATTCTGTGTCTGTCCCTGAGTAACAATTCTGTGGCCCTAACTAACGTTTCTGTGGCCCTAAGTAACAGTTCTGTGGCCCTCAGTAACAATTCTGTGTCCCTGAGTAACGTTTCTGTGGCCCTAAGTAACAATTCTGTGGCCCTCAGTAACAATTCTGTGTCTGTCCCTGAGTAACAATTCTGTGGCCCTAACTAACGTTTCTGTGGCCCTAAGTAACAGTTCTGTGGCCCTCAGTAACAATTCTGTGGCCCTGAGTAACGTTTCTGTGGCCCTAAGTAACCAGTCTGTGGCCCTCAGTAACAATTCTGTCTGTCCCTGAGTAACAATTCTGTGGCCCTAACTAGCGTTTCTGTGGCCCTAAGTAACGATTCCTTGCTCACTAACAATTCTGTGTCCCTGAGTAATGTTTCTCTGTCCCTAAGTAACGTTTCTCTGTCCCTAAGTAACGTTTCTCTGTCCCCAAGTAAACGTTTCTGTGGTCCTAACTCTGTCCCTAAATACAGAGCGGTCTGCCTCTCTTGAATGACTGGAGGCAAATGAAGAATTCTAAAATGGCCGCCATTTATAGCTCGACCATTACACAGTGCTGGCTGGCTGGCTGCTGATTGGCTAATGCGATCACATGTCATTAAGGAATGCATTATGGGTCAGCACGCCTTGTCTGCGCGCCTTCCAGACATCCCCCGCTCCGTCGCCGCACATGTCCGCCGCCATTTTAGGAAAAATTTCGTTTCTCGCTTCCGAAGTAGGCTATTTTTCGGATTTCGGCGCGAATCGAAAATTTTCCAATATTCGAAACGAATTCCACTTCGCCTACTTCTATTCGCTCATCTCTAATAGTGATTATATGAAACCATTTTATTATCACATATTTTGTTTGGCTCCTCTTTAAATCATAATGATAACAAAAATCACCCAAACACCCAAACGGCCCTTATCAAAAGTTTACATCCCCTGGAATGTTTGACCGTGGTACAAACACACAAGGTGACACACACAGGTTAAAATGGCAATTAAAGGTTAATTT